CCAAGCTGCTGCGCGTGCAGGGCCGCGTGCCGGAGGCGCTGAAGGAGATCGACGCCGCGGCCAAGGTGCTGGAGCTGGCCGACCTGAGCAACGCCGACCCGATGGGCAAGGTCAGCATCCCGAGCGAGGCGGCGGCGCTGCTCATCATGCGGGGGCAGCTGACCGGCCAGCTCGTCGTCAAGAAGGAGGCGCCGCTGGCCGACGCCTTTGCCGCACTGGACCACGCTGCCGCGCTGATGACGCCGCTGCTCGACCAACGCCCGATGCTGGAGGCGCTGGACCTCAGCGACGGCACGCCCACCGACCCCAAGGCCTATGCGCAGATCCTCACCAACCTGGGCGTGATCCACGGCGCCAAGGCCAAGATCCTGCAGAACATTGGCGAGTGGGACCAGTCGGTGCCGGAGGCGCAGGAAGCCGTGCGGCTCGACAAGGCCGCCGTCGCCTACGACCCCAAGCCCACGATCTGGAAGGACACGCTGACCATCGAGCTCAACAACCTGGCGCTGGGCCTGATCCACCAGAAGCGCTTCCCCGAGGCGCTGGCCGCCGCCGAGGAAAGCCGCGCGACGGCGCTGCTGCTGATCGAGCAGGACGGACCCAAGAGCCGCTGGGTCGGCATGCTGCCCCGCCTGGCCATCCAGCGCGGCCGCGCGCTGGCCGGCGTGGGGCGGCATGCAGAGGCGCTGGCGGCGTATGAGGAAGGCGTGAGCTACTGGACATCCGTGCTCAAGGCGCCGCCCAACGAAGGCGCCAAGGCGGAGGCCGAGAAGGCGCTGGCCGTGCTAAGGACGCAACAGGCGGCGTCGCGATAGACCGGGCGGCTGGCTGCCCGCGCACAAAGATGGGCGGCCCATGTCCATCACGGCCCGGGTCTGTCGTTCAATGAGGTAGCAGGTGCCGCGCCGTCCAGCGCGCCTCATGTCTCCATGGGGAATCTGGACGCCTCACGATGCCGCTCTACTTCATCACCTTCCTGGCCATGCTCGGCACCGCGGTGCTGGTCTACGCCGCTGCGCTGGCCGTGTCCGCCTTCACGCGCAAGCCGCCGTCGCCCTTCATCCGCGGCCGCGCGGCCGATGGCCTGCAGACGCTGCACCTCGCGCTGATCTGGTCCTGCGTCGGCGTCGGCTGGCTGCTGTATTTCAACGTCTACCGGATCCACGCCGACATGGCCGCCGTCGGCGACGCCGCCTTCCAGGCCTTCACGCGCGGCTACACGGTGCGGCTGCCGGTCGTGGTGCTGCCCTACGG